AAACTAGAATACATCCTATAATAAAGACTAGATGGAGTAGTATTTTTCTATTAGTTCAAAATATTAACTTTACTCCTTATGAACCATAAAATTAGTTAACTTTATCTTATAATTAGGATATGAGGAGAGTTTAGTGATAAGAAGGTTAATTAGAGTGGGGGACCAAATAAAGATATCACTTTATTTATATAATATTTATCATTATTTGTTATTATTATATAAAATTGTTCTTGATGAAACATGGATATGATTAGGATCAACCCCATACTTTGCGCAAATGAATTCAAATTAATTAAACTTCCATAGATCAAGTAGAATGATTTACTTTCCAACAAATCAATAATTTAGGCTAAGCTATAACATCATGATTTTATTTAGAAATTTAATTGAGGATTTAATTGTGATTGAGTTGATCAAATATTTATGTATTTAATTATGATTAAAATTGGACATAGGATCATGCATGAGAGTTATTTAGGAGTCCAAAATAGGTATTGGGCTAGATTGGGTCCAATATTGTGGGTCTATGTAGGAATTTTGGATCTGTGCCATGTGTAACGACACATGAGGTGTTCGCCGCGATGCACAGCTTGAATTTTGCATAGTTAATTCTATTTGAAAGACAAAAAGGAAAGAGGAGAAATCAAAGGGTTTGGGTGATTTTTAAGAGCTTTGCTAGATTTTCATCAAGGGCACATAATGAACACGTTTTTGGGCCACTAATCACTAAGGTAACTTTTCATAATCTCTTCTCTACATTTTTAAACCACTCTTTGAGCTAGTTTTATGTGGGAGTAAGGTTAGGGGTTTTCAGTAGTTTGAGGGTACCAGTCATTGGGTTCAAATTTAAGGACTTGTTTGAGGTTAAATAGGTGTTATTTAGGTGAATTTATTATGTTTATGACTATGAGATGCTTAAATCTGAAACCCTAGGCTTGTTGGAAAATAATTAATAATGATTAGAGTGATTAAAGGCTAAATTTATGCTTAAGAGGTGTAATGAGAATGTAAATGACTAAATTTGATGATTAAAGTGTAAGGTAATGTGTTAGGAATAAGTAGTCATATTTAGGAATAAGCTCACTTATTTCAATATAAGCATCAATTTACATGCTATGTTTCACATACTCATACTCGATCTCTTCAATTCTCTTTCCTTATTCAATTCTTTCAACTTCTAAATGTTGTGTTTATTCTATAACCCTTTTAAAATCCTTTTAACACAAATTTGATTAGGATTAAACTTGTAATGCTCTTTTATCATCCCTTATTCCCAAATAGTTAAGAAACTCAAAAGCTTAAATATGTATTACACATTCAAATGTTCCTTATTTCGGAAATAAGCCCACTTATTCCGAAATAGTCTATGCCTTAAGCTATTCTCCCCCTTGTCATTATTTTAGACCAAACCTCTCATTCAAAAACCCATTGCCTTATTCCAAAATACATTCAGTTATTCAGAATATGTAACTCATATTTAGGAAAGCTTCCCTTATTCTCAAAATTTCAGTTCTTCAAATATGTAACTTATTAATTAAGTGATATTCCGGAAGAGCCAATTTTGCTTCTAACTATTTTGTTCTTCACTATTTCAAAACAAGCACATTCATTCTAGAATATACATGAAGATTCATGCTCTATTTTTTGATTGATTCTGCGTCTCTTCGAACCTCACTCTCAACATATTCCTTTCACTTTTTATGACTTGTGTTAGTTCTTTAATCATTTTTGAATTTCTTTTAAACACAACTTCAGGCATCTCTTCGAATCTCACTTTCTAAATATCCCTATTTTTCATATCTAAAATAGAGAAACTTAAGCTCAGGAAGCTTAAAGAGATTTACGATCATCTTTACAAGGGAAAGAGTTTCAGACTTAGTAAAAAGTCTATGCTATACTGTGGCAACCAAAAGCTCGGTTTAATCTTAGTGGATATAATGAAAAATCTCAAAAGTGCCTTGGGGACTGGACGTAGGCTTAAGTGGATAGCTAAATTAGGATAAACTCTTTGTATAAAGCTTCTTTTCTCTTTACTCAGCTTTATCTAGTGATATCATTCCTTAATTATCTTTATTTCTACATTATTTGTTTTAAATTTTAATTAACCCAATTCACCCCCTTTTACAGTGATTTTTATAGTCATTAGTCACTAACCTAATATAATAAATATTTTGCCTTACAAAATAATTCTAGCAATAAATTCTTTTATATGCTAGCCATTGAAAAGATTTTGTTAGCATAATGACTTAAAAACCAGAGTTTCCCAAACTATATGCCCTCTCTTAAAACTAGAATTTAATCTTGCAAGTTATAAATTAGCTAATTCTATGAAATCAAATTACCCAGCAACAATTAAAACAAATTCTATAGCATAACAACATAAAAATGAGTATTTCTCAGGCTTTATGCCCTATCCTAAGAATAAACTTTCATCTTAAAAATCTAACATAAGTCAATCATACCTTATCAAGCTATCAAAAAAACAAAATTATCACCACCATAACAACAAGGGAAGCAAAATTTTAACAAAATCATATAATATCCAACTAAACCAGGAGATTCAAACTGTAAAATAATTTTCATATAATCCTAAATCTAATTCCAAGAAGAGAAATAAGAAAGCTCCAGGATGTACAACATGCTCTTCAGGTATGCTTCTTTTATTTATAAATCCTATAGCAAAGGAAAAATCAAACTCATTAAATACAACATGTCTAGATATATATAGTCTTCCCGTAGGACTAAGACATTTATAACCTTTGTGGGCACTATTGTATCTGATGACTTTCAATATTTTATTGAATTTATTAGAGTTTTTAATGTAGTTAAAAGTCATTTATTTGAATTTTGTTAGCAAAAATATGATTAAGTGAATGAATATGTGTGAAAATGGGCTTAGAAATGTGTTAAAAGTTAGTGACCAATTCTAGCATTAATTTTGGGTTTTATGCATGTAGGGAGGCCCAATTTAGGGCCCAAAGAAGTAAATTTTGGAGCCCAAGTCAAATAAATTAAATCTAAAAAGAAAATCTGAACAGGTCATATTCACTGCAATGAAAATGCGTTTTGCTATAGCGAAACATAATTTTAGTAAAACACACAATTTTGATTGTTAGTGAACTTTTAGGGCTTAAGCACCTCATTTTCATGCATTCTTCACCTCCAGCAGCTGCAGAATGTCCAGGAAGAGGGAAAAGAGCCAAAGAAGGGTTGGAGAAACTTGAGTTTAGTAAAAAATCAAGGGTTTCGCTCAATATTGCTCTAATTAAGCTTTTCTTCTCCTTCTTCTCTTTACTTTGATGTATATATTATTGATTTTGTTGTCATGGAAGCCATGTGTGTCTGATTCTCTTTCAATCTAGGTAGCTATAAATTGATTCTTGAATTAAAGCATGTTTAAACCATTTATTTGAGCTTAATATTAGTTTTGTTTACTTAATCTTGTACTTATTTGTCTACTTAATGCTTAATCACCATTGAGTGTGAATTTGTGAGGTTTAGGTTTTGCCTTAGAAGAGGAAAATCTAAATTTGATCATTAAATTAAATAATGTGGGATTAGAATTTATTCTAATTTTCCAATAGGATAGGAATATACCTATTAGACCCATATAATCACATTAGAGTGGATTTATACATTTTTGCCTCTTGGGTAATTGTGTTAAGAATAGCACATTAATTCAAAAGAGGGGTGTAATTAATCAAAAGATAATTATTCCTATCAATATTCTAGATTAACAAATTAATATTAAGTAAATTTATTTGGGTAATTACATGCTCTATGAATTAAAAAGGGATTAGCCACCCTAGGTTGCCTTGATTGTTTGTGATTGTTGGAATTTTAATTTTAGTGCATTCATATAATTTCAATTTCTTATTTTGCAAATATCAAATCCAAATTTTGTTTTGCTTGACTTAAATAAAATGGAGAATTTATTGCCTTATTATCAATTAATTTGATTCTTTGTGGGATCGAACTTGATTTATTACATACTATTTTTACAACCCGTACACTTGCGGAATTTGTTACATAATTGTGAGCATCAATATCTAATAAATACACATTTTGTGGATCTAAATTAAAGTTTATGTTGATTATAAGGACAAAGACAGGGATAGCAAGTTGAACCACAATCCTTGAGTCTGTCATAGTCAGGATGTTTACCAAAAAGGAGGTGTAATACCACATAGAACAGTAGAGGGTAGTATGTTAATTAG